TACATTAACAAAGCACTACAACCCCAACATAAAAGAATCTCTAGGAAAACCGTTCGTTCCGCCGCAATGAAAAATTTCCTAGAGTACAAAGTCCGGTTACAAGCCGAATTGAGTAACCTTAACTGTAGAGTATCTTTAACAGCCGATTCTTGGGATAGTGGTTATAAATATCACTATTTATGTGTGACTTGCCATTGGGTAGATGATCAATGGATGTTACAAAAAAGAATAATACATTTCAAAATGCTGGAATACCCACACACCGGCATTAACATTGCTCACCATTTAATGCAAGCAATAGACGAATACAACCTTCGAGATAAAATGATGTCTATGACTTTTGATAATGCAACCTCTATGACATACACAGCTAATCTTATCAAACAAAACTTAACCGATGTACTATTAGACGGTGAAGCTCTTCATACTAGATGTGTTTGCCATGTACTTAACTTATGTGTACAGGATGGAGTTCGGGCAATTGGCCCATACTACAGCAAAATCAGAGATGCTATTATGTCTATTAATAGCTCTAACATGAGATACCAAGAATGGAAGAGTTTTCTAAAACAACAAAAGATAAGGGTAATAAAAATTAGAACCGATTGCCCAACTAGGTGGAATTCCACCTATGACATGTTAACAAAGGCAATTGAGTACAAGGGCCCGTTAACATTATTTTACAACCAAAAATTTCCACAAAATGCTTTGTATGATGATGATTGGAATAACTGTGAAAGATATATGCAATTTTTACAGTTATTATATAACATGACGTATTGTTTTTCTACTGTTTACAATCCTTGTGCTCAAAACTTTCTTTCTAATGCATGCTTACTCGCCCAACTTTTCGCTGATCATCGCCATCAAAGTGATTATGATCAGTATCTTCCAGCAATGGAAAAAAAGTGGCGTAAATATTATAGTGAGATTCCTTTGATTTATATTTTTGCTTCCATATTAGATCCTAGGCAAAAGTATGAAAACACATTTATGTTAGTTGACATTTACTTTCAATGCATGTTTCTTGACGATGATGTAGAAAACTATAAGACTAATGTGAAGGATCAGTTTTTTGCTTTATATAGAGTCTATGAAGCCAAATATGGCACCGTTCCTCGCTCAGGGTCTTCCCAACCATCCAAAAACGTAAGTAAGAAGGCCAAATTTCACAAGCTACTAACTTGATTTCAAGGTTTTCAGGTGATTCATCAATCAGGAGAAAGCAAAGCGACGTCTCGGAGTTGCAGATGTACCTGAGTTACGACTTCACCAAAGGCATGGACAACGATGAGATAAACAGCCTCGACCTCCTTGCATGGTGGAAACAACAAAGCTCGAAGCATCCAACTTTGGCGGCAATGGTACGAGACATTCTTGCTATCCAAGTTTCCTCCGTCGCCTCCGAACGAGCTTTCAGCGCATCCGGAAGGGTTTTAGACGATAGAAGAACAAGTCTAAAACCCGAAACACTAGAAATGTGCGTGTGTTTCAAAGATTGGTTGGATGCGGAAAATCGCTCACAAGACCGTTCTTACGACCACAACGACAACGAAGAAGGAACCTCCGCTTCCGGTTCGGGTTCAGCTAGTTCCCAATCTATGCAACTAGCCGATGACCTTGAAGGCGAAGGCGAAGACGAAGACGAAGACGAAGACGAGCAAGAAGAAGGAGAAGAAGAATAGACAATTATTGTATATTGTACGATTTTAAAAATATCAATTTTATCATTTTCCAATTTTTGTTTAATACCATCATTGTATGATTTTTATCATTGTTATCATTGTACAATTTTCTCAACTCAAGTAATAATAATATAAAGTACGCATTATTCACATCCAAAGTCCAATTTGCCTTTTTTCCCGTTTTGTTACAATTTGTAAATTCATATTAAAAAAAAAAAAAAAATTATACCAATTACTAATAAATCATAAACATTAAATTTTAAAGTAATAGTATAAAGTAAATATATAAATATAAATATTGAATATACAAATTATAAAACATAAATATTCAACTTATAATTATAAAATTCATAACTTAATAACTTATAACTTATAAGTTATAAACTTATAAGTTATAACCTTATAAAACTTATAATTATAATTTTATAACTTATATACATTATAAACTTATTAATTTATAATGTTGTCATATAAAAAATAAAAAAAAAAATAATAAAAAAAAAAAAAATTGAAAACTGCACCAGCCCGCAGGCCGGCACGGCACGAGCCCGCCAGGCACGAGGGTCGTGCCGTGCCGTGGGCTGGACTGTGAAAATGGCGGGCACGGCACGGCACGAAATCCTGGGCCCGCCGGCACGACCGGCACGGCACGAACCAGCCCGTGGCCCGCCAGGCACGGCCCGGCACGGTGCCCAGGTTTAACTCCACCTACTTGCATCCACACCAAAAACTAAGGTGTTATCCACCCCCAACATCACTGCTTCATTACTGTAAAAAAAGGCTAGCCCTTATAAAGCTTGAACCCATTCTAATCTTAGATTCATGTCAAAAATTGTCTCGTCATCAACCAACTCACCTCGGACAATAAAAAGAGCATAGAATATAGCTTATTGAAATCCCTAATCCAACAAGGGACCACTAATGTGGTGATATTTTAAACAGAAATTTTTAAATCAGCTAAGCATAAGAGAACATCATAAGGACAGCCAAGCAGGGGCGGACCCACGTGAGGACAAGTGGGGACCATTGTCCCCCCACTTTCAAAAAAAATCAAAGAATTAAAAAAAAAAAAAAAAAGAAAACACTAAGATTCAAAAGGACATTATAACTTGTTGTGCAAAAGAAACAACTAGGCGTATAGTAGAAGAGGTTGGTGATGAATACTTTACAATATTGGCGGATGAGCCAAGTGATGTGTCCCAAAAAGAACAATTAGCTCTTGTTTTGCGTTTTGTTGATAGAAAAAGTGGAGCGGTGATGGAAATATTTTTAGGCATTGTTCATGTGTGATACTACCGCTTTATCTTTAAAAAATGCAATAATCTCTTTGCTTATGGAACACAACTTGAGTCCACCAATGATTAGAGGGCAAGGATATGATGGTGCTAGTTACATGAAAGGTGAGATAAATGGGCTTAAGACTTTGATTATGAATGACACTCCTAGAGCTTATTACATTCATTGCTTTGCACATCAACTTCAATTGACTCTCGTTGCCGTTACTAAAAAAATGATAATTGTGGTTGGGTGTTTGAAATTACTACAAACTTGTTGAATGTAATTGGGGCTTCTTGTAAAAGAAGAGAAATGATTCGAAAAAGTCAAGCTCAAAAGGTTGCTCAAGCATTAGAAGTGGGGGAAATTGATAGTGGTTCGGGATTGAATCAAGAAGTTGGTTTGAAAAGACCCGGAGATACACGTTGGGGATCACATTACAAATGTGTTCTAAACATTATCTTCTTGTTTCCTTCAATTGTTGAGGTACTTGTGCACATTGGAAAACATGGTTCATCGGAGGATAAATTCAAACCTCAAATTGTGCTGGGTTCATTAGAATCATTTGATTTTATTTTCATGGCTCACTTGATGTTGACTATTTTTGGATACACGAATGATTTTGTATTGCTTTGCAAAGAAAAGAACAAGATATTGTTAATGCCATGAGACTTGTTTCTTCTACAACGAAAGTGTTACAAAAAATGAGGGAACAAGGTTGGGATATTCTCTTGAAAAAAGTAACTTCATTTTGCAATAAACACAAAATTGATGTTCCCAATATGGAGGCTAATTATGTTCCACATGGAAGATCAAGGCGTTTTGTTGAGAAAGCTACAAATGAACATCATTTTCGTGTTGGAATTTTCTTGGAAGTGATTGATTTGCATCTTCAAGAACTTGATAATCGGTTTAATGAGAAGAACATGGAACTACTTACTTGCATGGCTAGCTTAAGTCCTAAGGATAATTTTTCGTCATTTGACAAAGAAAAGGTACAAAAGCTAACCTCATATATACAAGATACTTGTCTTATTGTTATTATATATTAATACTTGTCTATTTTTTTTTACAAGGTGCTTAAACTTGCTTCTTTGTACCCTGAAGACTTTTCACATAATGAGTTGTTGAGTCTTGATGATCAACTTGAAGTGTTCAAGCAAATCATGTTAGATGATGAAAATTTTCGAGATTTGCATGACATTAATTCTCTTTCAAAGATGCTTGTCAAAACCAAGTTGCATGAGACTTATCCTCTTATTCATTTGCTTATCAAGTTAATGTTGATTCTTTCCGTTGCTACAGCAAGTGTTGAAAGAGTCTTTTCGGCAATGACATACATCAAAAGTAAATTGAGAAATAGTATGGGTGATCAACTTATGAATGATTGTTTGGTTACTTACATTGAGAAAGAAGTGTTTTTGCAAGTCCCTGATGAAGATATCATTGATCGATTTCAAAAAATGAAGATTGGAGAATATTTTAGTAGTATGTAACCAAATTGTATTATTCAATAGATTTTGGGATTGTAACTTTTTAGTATTAAACAAGTATGTACCCGAATTATTTATATTTTGTACTCGTTTTTTAAAAAAAGGTTGATGTTAGTTGAATTATCGAAATTGTCCCCCCATTGTCAAATTTCTAGGTCCGCCACTGCAGCCAAGTAACATATTCATATGAATCTTAAGGGAAAGTTGATAGAGAAAAGGAGTAGATAGAAAACGTAATTCATAATCTCTCGAATCACAAACAATTATTATGGAGAGTCTACCATCAAATGCATCTGAAATGAAGTTTTATAAGAAAATAGAAAAAACTTCTTAATTGTCCACACAATCTTGCCAAGCACAATTCAGTAGAAAAAAACAAGAAGATAAGTAAGGCCAGTGATTCATCCAATTCCCTTACATATGCATGCCTGATTAAAAGGAAATATCAAAATAAATTCCATATATGTGAATGTATGTGCACAAGTCAGGCCATGTGGGTGTATAAGTGGGTGCATGCTTGTTAATACATGAAAAACAGTACATTCACCTTAGTAGGAAACAGATATAGAGCACATGATAGCCAGTTTTGGGATAATGCTTCTAGTATTGGTATATTATAGCAAAGAGATTTCCCGCTAGATGTCATGGTGGCTACCACGACATTTTTGCCACACAAAGAAGCCTTTATAGACTCAGCCTGCAGAAAGGTAAACTTAATCCACATTAGGTTTATGGCTATAATAATAAGCAAAAAAATATAAGATACATACGGTGATACGGACCTGGTGGCTATACAACTTAGTAATCTCTAGAGTCTTTAGAGCACTCTTCGCATTTTCGGATAATTCATCAGGGATATCAGTGTAGACTGCAACTCTTGCCTTAACTTCTTCTATATGTACTATCTGCATCCAAATAATAGCCCAAAGCATTTACAAGAACCCTTCTAATCCAATATTTTCCATAGGCACTTTGTTCTACAAATATTGGCTCATTATGCTTTTTGGTCAAATGATTAAGAATATTGTGGTCGGGGAATAGGGATGGCAGGGGGGAATGAGCACCGGAAACAGTGAAGATGGAAAGTAACAAACTTTCCATCAAAGTGCCCACTCAGCAGGGCTTTAGGCTCAACCTTAATTTTAAAGGGTGCAAGGTGCAACAAGGCACAAAAGTCCTTAGGGCCTAGGCGCAAGGCGGGCACTTTTTGTAGGTAAAGCGCCCTTTATTTATATTAAAAATTATAATAACATCTATTAGATAAGTCTAAAAAAGAATTATGAGAAAAGTTGAAAAGGCTATGTGATCAATAGCTAGGAGTCTTCCAATTGAACTGGGGGATATAGAGATACTCTCTCCTCTAGACTGACCATCGCAAAGTCACATGGTGTTTTTGTAAAAAATAAAATAAAATAAAAAAATCCAACGCATTAGCTATTTACAGCCTTACAGCGCAAGGTGCAAGAAGCAGCCTAGAAAAAAGCGCATAGGTTTGAGCCTTTTGTAGGTCTTTGTACTTCACAGAGCTAAGACACCAGCTCTTGCACCTTGTGCCTACGTACACCTAACTCGCAATTGTTAAAACTAAGGGCTTTACAAGCTTCTTACAAAGAGTAACTTCATACATTATGAAAGTACCTGTCCACGAGAGCCGATGCCCTTCCTAAGATGTTCAAGCATCAACATGGGTGAAAGTGGATGAGTCACCTACACAACCAAGTAAGCTGATTATTAATAAAAATTAGGTAAATTCTCATTGGTAGCCTCGTACTTTTGCGTATTTCCATTAGTAGCCACTTTTTATATGAATTATCTTTGGTAGCCTCAAACTGTTAACATTTTCATTTCCGTAACCATATTTAACATAAACCGTTAAGTGGGTGTTAAAATTTAACTGTATTAATTTTAATTTAATTAATTTTTTTAAAAAAAAAAAATTAAAAACCCCTCCCCCACGCACTAGCCCAGCCACCTCCCTCACCTAGTCCCCTCTCCCCTTCTGCCGGCGCCGCCGCTCCGGTTGCCACCGTTCCGGCTTCCGCTGCCGTCCCCCACCTTCAGTCATCCTCCCCGTCCCCTCTAATCCACCACGAAATCACATCTTTTCTCTTTCCCTCTTTCCATGAAAACCCTCAAACCAACCATGTTCTTCTTTCCTTTCATTGCCTGCTCACAATCTACCCCCATTTAACCATCTTCATTCGTCCTCACCAACCATCTCCATTAGTCAGCATTATCATCAAAAGATCAAAACCTTGGCCGTTTGCTAGAGGGTGCTCTGAGGTTTCCCGATTTGATGCGCAAGGGTGCAGGAGCTTGGGTGTTTGAGAATTGGGGCTGAGGTTTTTAGGAATTAGGGCGGGGGGTGTCGGGAATTGGGGTCGGTATCGGGAAGTGGGCGCCGGCGCCATCGATGGAGGTGGAGATGGCAGGGGGTGGCTAGCTGGTTAGGGGAAGGGTTGTTATTTTTATTTTTTGTAAGATTAATTAAATTATGATATAACTAACCTTAGTTAAGTATTTTTAAATTATTATAAAACTAACCTCGGTTAAATTTAACAATCAACTAACGGTTTTAGCTCAATAAGGTTATGGAAGTAATTTCTTAAGAGTTGGCGGCTACCAAAGATAATTCATATAAAAAGTGGCTACCAATGGAAATATGCAAAAGTACGAGGCTACCAATAAGAATTTCCCAAAAAATTAAAAAGATCTTATAACAGCGGAATTTGTGGGGGGTGGGCTTTTGAGCTCTTTTTACACAAAAGAAAATACAAGAGTGATAACTGAGAAGGCTAGGGATGAGAAAGGTCTAGAAGTGACAATTGAAAAGCATCCAAGCATAAGAAGTAAATTTAAAACCAAATCTTCTAAAAAAGTATTGAACGATCTGAAACTTAAAGCAGTTATAATTTTCCTTGGAAACACAAATAAAAATCAAGAATGCGAGAGTGCAATTCTATCACAGATGTGGATGCAAATTGAAAAACAGCACATGCTACCCTACATCTCTCTACCAAAATCACTGGAAAAATTTTGATGAAAAAATCTGCCATAAAGACCTTTCTTGCTCAATTGCACCAAAACAACAAAATCACACTTGTTCACACATTAATTTCTCCTTGAAGCTTTCTAAGACAAAGCCACAAGTCATGGAAGAACAAGTATACGGAAAACACCTTGTAATAGCTGATGAAAGGAAACAGTTGGTTACATTTAACATGTACCACGGGTAAATGCCAGAAAAAACATTTATAGCCCTTAATCCCTTATGATGACGTAACTAGTCAACAGCAAACCTTTGATCAAGATAGCTCTTTGTCAAGAAGGTGATAAGGAGCATGAGAAACAAGAATAAAGATCCACCAAAAGATTTATGAAGCTAAATCTCCATAAACACTAGCACATCTAAAATGGGGAATGAGAAAAGCAACAGACTAAAAAAGACTATTTGAGATAGTCTTTAGTTGAAACGTATTTCTTTTTGGGAAGTTTTATAGTTGACATGTATCTATTTGAGATATGTCTTGTACAATATTGTCAAGTTTGCCCTTATCCCTCTTCTCTTTCCTCCTCCTTACAGACCCCCTCCTTCATCTCTCTTCTCCGTAACCCACATACTCCTTAACCATGGCAACATCTTTTTTCTCTTTCCTCCCTCATCAGAGTCCTCATCAGAAATTTCCACCTTGGCCTCCATTCTGCTACACATAGAACCTTATTCTCCGCTAGATCCTCACCACCAAGGCTGCCTCCATAAAAGCCTTGACCATCATATCCTTCAACGAATTCACCTCCAAAGCCCCAAATTGGCTGTTCTTCACCATTAATAATTTCGCCTAACTACTTGACCATCATTAATGGATGTTCACAAGAAGTTTTAGCATATTAAATCTCAACTTTAAAATTTTGACTTTTTGTCAATCTTTCTTCACTGTAGCAACAATCCTCCATCACTCAACGCTAAATTGATTGAAGCGTTGATGTTCTTTCATCCTTTGTCGTTGTCTTCTTTTCCAATTCCAACTCCAAAAGTAGGGGCGGTCAGTCGGTCACAAATTGAAAGTTGGGGTTGTAAACATTTTTGGAATTTGTTAATGTTGAGCATTTTGTGGGTTTTATGTGAGGTAGAAGGTGTTGACAAAGGTGGGATGGTGGTATCGGAAAAGTAGATCAATGTGGTGATGGAAAAGAATCAAGAGATGAAGTTGGGGTGTGATGGACATTATTGTCCTTAACATTTTTATCTTACTTCTCCTAAATATGTGTGCCTAAATCAAATCCATCAACTAAAAAGAAACGGAGGAAGTACTATTAATTATCCCTCTAAGACTACTTAAACTTAGAATAGAAGTATCCAAGAACACTAAAGAGAGGAAAAAGGGGGTCAGACAGTGATGGAACACCCACTCCAATTCTCAAGATACCTGCATATGACTCATGTGCCCAATCAAACACTCTAAGGGGCTTCTCCTCATACCCCTCGTAAAACAATCCCTGCCCTATAACTGAATAAATTAAAACAAGACAGCAGAAGTACACATAGTGTTCTCCTTAAAGAAAAACAAGAGGAAAAACATACACAACACCGCACTTCAATAGAGCTCCTACTTTTTTCTGCAGCGATTCCATAAGAGGTTGGATCAGTTTTCTTTACAGAAGTGATAAGCTCCTCCAGTGAAATAGCTTTCACATAGATTCCATCAGGCTGCATAACAAGATTGTAACAGAGTTATAACTCTAATAATAAGAAAATTGGTATCATAGGATAGCATTCAAATTCAGTAATAAAAACAATTGATAAAATTTTCACACACACTTAGAACACAAAACAACAAGAGGTGGCCTGCATCAAATGTCATTAATGATAATTTACACAAAATAAACCCCGTAGCCAAGGATTTTGATTATCTTAATAGAGATATAACAAGCAGTAGATTTATGATAATGATCATGTTAAAGTGCAAAAGCTTACTGAGTACACAGATGGGTGTTGAATCTCTAGTATATATGTAGATTCAAAATGAGAAGAAAAAAAAAAAAAGTCAAGGACAAATAGTAAACTCATATAAAATAAACTACCCTAAACAACATTATGAAACTCCAGGAAGGATAAAGCATTAGGGTCTCACGTATCCTAATATCATCATACCATCTCATTTATCTTCATTAACTAAATCCAGTCACAATGCTCATTGCAAAAAGGACTTCAATCCAAAACAATAAAAAGATCTCATAATCTCTTACTTTTTTATATGATTAATCCCAACTACCCTTTTGTTCTTCCCAATTGGAATCTTTTTGTGAGACAAAAAAAGTTAAAGTGGGAAAAATAAAAAGGATGGGAGGGAATATTATTAAGCTCCTACCAAGCAACAAAACATCTCCAACTCTAACACATCTAACTCCAACTTCCTCCAAGGCTCTAAGGAAAAATCCTCCAAATTATAGTCATGGTCCATCTCATTTCCCTCCAATTATATCTTGTCTCCTATGCTCAAAATTCATAATCCACAACTTTGCAAAAAGCTCTCTTCCCCAACTATTCAATAATTTAAAGATAGATCTCAAACCATCCACCAATTAGGCCTTGTTCTTTTCGCATAATTTCTACTTATAAAAAAATATTTTAACCAATTACAATAAGATTACTAATCAAAACTGATTTTTTATTGAATGCAACTTTTAATGAGAAGAAATTCATTTTATTGATTTACACTAATTTTTTGTGAATCACATGTATATTTTGCCATTTTGGTGTATAAAGTTACAGAACTTTGCTGAACAAACTGAATTATACTTATAAAAAGCTTTCAAACTTAAAGTTATTGGTTACTGACTAAAAGTTATTTTTTACAGAATATTATGATTCAAAGGTAAAAAGAACAAGGTGTTAGTTAATAAACAAACCATGTAAATGGTTAATTTGGTTGGATGTAGGAAAAGGGCCATTATATTTGTAAAGAAATATAAGATCAAAAGTAACATTATAGGGATAAAAGCATATAGTATGCAGTATAACAATAACACAAGAAAAACAATAATATTCATATACCATAGTACCATATGAAACTCTGTTATTGAGGACCATAAAAAACTACCCTCCAAGTTAAATTAAAGGAAAAATTGGTAGGAACCACTCGGTTAAATGCTTAATAGGTCAATTTGTGAAATACTACTCACTAAAAAGTTTTATTAAAAAAACTACCCTCCAAGTTTAAAAAGTGTGGGTAGCACTACCTTTTTTCATTTTCCAGCAACTACTTCTGGCGAGTAGGGCTCATTTGTTATTTTTCCTTTAAAAAAACATCCTTACCCTTTGTATATATTAACCAACCCTCCTCTTCTTTGCAAAATCTCAATCCAAAAAACCAAATCTTTGTGAAAATCGCCAATTAAAGAAGGAAAAACGATTTGGTTTTTTGGGTTTAATTTTTGCAAAAAAGAGGAGGCTTGGTTATTATAAACAAGTCTGAGGATTTTTTTTTGGAGGGAAAATAACAAATGGGCCCCACTCGCCATTAGTTGCCGGAAAATGAAAAAGGGTAGTGCTACCCAAACTTTTAAAATTTGGGGTAGTTTTTTTTATAAAACTTTTTAGCTACTCGTAGTAGTTATTCACAAATTAACATATTAAGTGAGTAGTTCTTGACAATTTTTCCTAAATTAAATGAATAGTATTTCTTTGGTCAGGAATACCACACTAAATTTTTAAAATGTTTCACGAAAAAAAAAACTCACACACACACATCCAGGACCAAAATAATTGAGCAATGGAATGGATCTGATACTTACATACCAAAAGTAATCTGAAACCTTCCTCTAAAGTTGTTCTGAAAAGTATTTGTCTTCTATTTATCGAACTAATAATCTTTAACACAGGAACCCATTTTCGAGCTGTAAACATGAAAATATACAGCAATGAAATATCTTGTAAAATCACATAAAGACAACATTCCAAAAGTCCAGAGCATAAAGGAGGAGTTAGGGATATGTAAAAACACACATCACTCACGAAAACAAAAGACAAGGATCTCAATGTTCCAGCACTTTACCTTTGACATTACTTTTAATATGGTCAGACTGTTCCCTTGAGAAATTATTTACTACAATAACATCAAGTGACATCTTACTTTTTGTTTCTTGGTCAATAAAATGCACAACCTGGGATCAAACAACAAATTCAATTTAAATTTAAAGATCGTCAACACAGCAACCAAAAAGTTAGCTTGGAGTATTAAATTTCCAGGGTAGTAATAGAGATATGGTCTAAACCTACCTGCATCCTGTACTAATGTGTATCATAAACAAACAAATTGGCGCACACTATAAAGAACATCATAGCAAGACAGACCTTGTGTCGGGCATCAAAGTCCATGTCATTGTAACTAATGCATATGTCACTTATTTATCCATAGTCCATACTTATGCATGAAAGATCAAATGAAGAGATATAATACAATTTTATATCCAACAGCAGAATGTTCATGTTCAGCAACAACAACAGCAAAAATAATCGTTAACATAGATCATCATAAGGAACCGTCAATAAAACAAAGTTGGAAAAAGAGTGTAAAGTGAACAACGAAGACTATATAAAACTCATATTGAAAGTAACAAGAACACCAAGCCCTCAGCCTCATGTCAAACCTCTTGGAGAATGACCATACATATAAAATCTACAGAAGAGCTATGATTTGCCTGCAGCTTGGACAGCATTGATTGTAGTATAGCACAATAAACATTTTGATTTAACTCAAAAATCAAAATTTAACAAAAGTTCCTTAGTTGAGAACTTGAGCTATCATACTATAGCTTGTCCTTCTGTAGCCAATAAACAAACTAAGAGAGCAATTAAAGTGGGCTGTGAAAGACATGTAAACACGAGGTAAATCAACCAGGACACACTTCTGTAACAAGAAAAATAAAATTAGCAGGGGATGTATCACGGAACACATAATTAAATTGGCATCAGAAGCAATTAAGTTTGGTAAGGAACCTTAGGGCAGAGATCTGGCAGACGCTTCAAGTCTTCCACACTAGCACAGAAACCAAGTTCACGAAGTTTATTAAGTGAATTCTTGACAAGGTCAAATGTAACAGCTTCGTGATTCACTTGAAGAAATCCAGCAAAAATGTTCAAGAACGCAAAGGACTGCATCATTATCGTTAACCATGTTGGGCAAAGGCAACAAGAGGGCTGGGCCGGTTGGCCATTCCCCTGCATATTAAACTTGCTAGACAACATACAGTTCCCAGTTTCTGCATCCGATAAACAATGCACAGACTCCAATATCTTGAGAAAACTTTCACAAACTTCTTGATCAAGAACATGCCTATTAGAAAAACGCAGTAAACTAGATATAAGATCATCAGCAAGCCCTGCCTTACTTTCAACTTGGGATATCTTTCTACGCTTTCTTGCATAATTACTTGAGAGATTCTCGTTTATCATGACACCTTTACTTTTATCAAAATGATCTGGCAAACAGCCAGAATGTTCTTCAGAACTCATTGTGTTATTTAGATAAGACAAATCTTCCATCATATCACGCCAAGCTGATTCTGCTACGTGTGAAGGTTCACTTTGTGGAGTAGTCTGCGAGGATACTCCAGATTCCTCAGAGTGTATATTTTGGGATTTAGCTTTCTTTGTAAACGGCATAAGAGCAACAAATTCTCCACAGTTTATGGAGTGACTTCCTATTAAACTCTTAACACCTAGTTTCATACCCTGAGAAACACAAAGCAACCCAACAGAAATGAGCAACACATCCAATACATAAACAACATAGTACTCGTTAAGTCCCATTCTAACAGTCCGACCTTAACTTCCTTCTTTGCTATAAACATCTTTGATTATACATAACGTTTCCTAAAAAAAATGAAACCGCGGTAGTATAAGGTATGATAGGTAATCCACGGAATCAACTGATCAAGCTCATAATGTCATCACAATAGTGTAAATACCCTAACCCTTAGACAGGGGATCAACATCCAATTCAATAACCAATCATTGTTTGTTTTTTTTCCGAACAACGGTTCACAATCAAGGATTAGGTCCTAATCCTAAACTAACCCGAGTTTCATTAGCCATTAGCAAATTCACATTCAATCCCAAACAAGTATGCTAATTTTGACAAATATATAAATCAATAAAATGACTAAAATTCACCACATTAGCACAATGTCACACAATTAACCTATCATACCATTGATAACAACATATAAATCAATAGTTTCAATATAAACCAATTAAAATTGAAAGTAACATGATATCAACAACAACAACAATAAGAATAAGAATTAACAATTACAAAATAGTGAAAAAATTCGTACTCTCAGAAAAAGATGAAAGTCGGATGAAGAAGAGGCAGGAGGAAAGCGGTTCTTCAAAATGAGTTTGAGGTCTGCGATTGTTTTGGTCGATGAAATTGAAATGGTGATGGATTCTCCGCTTAGACTACGTACTGAAATTTCTCTCTCCTCCATTTTTTTTTTTCTCTGCCAAACGATGAAAAAATGATACAGTAGTTGAGTTTAGTAATATTAAATAAAAAATAATTTCAGTTCAACTCTGTTCTATTTAAGTATATTTTTTTGGTGTTTCACTCTACCAAGTGTTGTTGAGCGGGATCGAATACGGGTCCTCCCTACCAAGTGTAGTCTCAATCACCACTACACCAACAGTCAATTGGTGTGAACTAAAGTATATAGTAAGAATTTCATTAATTATATAATTTATATGTTAGTAATAGATTAATGACTTGAAATTTTGACCAATTTTGACTCCCTTCTTTTTTCCCTCCTTAATTTCCCTCCAATATTTAAAGTAAGGAAATTTTGCAAAAAACCACCTTTTAATTTTTATTTTTATTTTTTTTTTTTTTTTTTTGCATATAACCACCATTTAAAAAAAATGTTGCAAAAGACCACCAATTTTAAAAATTTTATTGCAAAATACCACTTTTTAAGCCAAATTTATCAATTGTTTTACATTGAAATGGTGGTAATTTGCAACAAAAATTTTAAAATTAGTGGTCTTTTACAACATTTTTTTTAGGAAATTTTGTCAGATAACACCTTTTAAGTGTGTTTTGTTGTGAGAAAACACCTTATAAAATATTTTTTGGGAAAACACACCTAATACCAGAAATTATTTGTGAAATAACACCTTAAGGCGGTTTCCGACATGTTGACTTGGTTTTACGGTGTTGACTACCACGTGGGAGTCACGTGCACCGACTTACCCCCCTCCCTTCTAATTTTTTGCCCTTTCTTTCCCTCTAACTTTATTTTCTCTCTCCTCTCAATTTCTTCCCCAATTAACCCCCCTCCTCTTCCATCCAAACTCCATTGTCCCCCTTTGAAGAAGGTGAACTCCAAATTTGAGCTCCAATTTCTGCAAATATACTCAATTGGCATAATCACGAGACAGCTAGGTAAGTAGCATTAATTAAAGACTTATCCCATTAATTTTGTTGATTTTGTGAATCATCGTAAGTTAGGGTTTTAAATTGGAATTAGGGTTTTTTATTTGGGGGTCAATTAATCTTAGCAATATCAAAAAATTTATAAGGTATTTTCTCACAACAAATCACACTTAAAAGGTGTTATCTGACAAAATTTTTTTTTTTTTTTTAAAAGGTGGTTATATGCAAAAAAAAATAAGATTTAAAAGGTAGTTCTTTGCAGAATTTCCTTAAAGAACCTCTATCATTATATAAATGAAGTCCTCTCATTTGCTTTGATTCATGGAGCTTTTTTTCATTTATGGTCAAATTGGGTGTATTTCAAATCTATATTATTGTATCAATGGTCCTAAAAAATATATATATATATTATTGTATCAAAGGTCCTCAAAAATAAAATGTATCAATGTAACTCAAAATCTAAATCAAGTTTTTTTTTTCCAATTTCGAGCCAGATTGTGTCAGGTAAGGTTTTGACATTTTAAGGGTATGTTCTCATTTACTGAATTGAGCTGAATCGAACTGATTGGAGCTGAACTAAACTGAACTGAATACCTTATGAGAGAAAGACATTGGGAGCTGAAGTAAACTAAATATTTTATGAAAGAAGGAAATTAGGAACTGAACTGAACTGATTGAAGCTGAACTAAACTGAACTGAAAATAAGCTAAAGAAAACAGGCCAAACATTACCATAGAATAATGATATAGGAGCTCACATAATACCAAATTCCATTCCAAAATTATAATTATATTCTAAAGATCTATTTATTATTGTAATCTTAAGCCGTTATTTCTATGCAATGATTGGATTTGTTTTTAAGTTACATAATATAGAATCTTTGTTAGCATCATTCCGAGGGGAAGGAATAATTATCAACAAGAATCATTTCTTTACAATTTGGATTTTTATTACTTAGTCCTATGGTTTTTTTTTAAGTTGACACATTTTTTTATTTTAGCACTACTTACGCTTTTTTCTTTAAGCGTGTTTTGTGATTTATGGCTAATGAAAAATATAGTCATGTGGAATTTTTACTTATCGGTAATTAAAGATATTAATGGTTGAATTTAAGAAGCATTGACAAACGTAACTAAAACGAGTCAACTAAAAATTACGAAGGAAGTATTATATTATATATATTCATGCATGTAGCCTAAAATAATTTCAATAAATAAGAATAACCAACATCAGTACTCATACAGTCTCAAAGTTGAAATTATTTGATTGCATTATGATGAGCATTACACTAGAAAAGTAGAGAAAACAAAGGCTATGCACTATTATACCAGTGCTTGAAACTTAAACTCCTTATTAGGTCGGACTACACCACTACTCCGTACTTTTACACTTTAACCAGCAGGCAGCAGATGTTCCACGTCGAATTACATAATTTAAAAATCTAGAATCTACTCGAGTTAACACGTAGGATATTTTATATTTCTACGTTATAAAGGAAAACAATGTTAAAATTTATTAAAAGTCACAAAAGTTTATGGTTAATTAATTTGATTGTGCTATTAAAAAAAATAAATAAAAAAAATCACAAAATCAATAGTAGATGTTGCAAGTAATTATGTACCCACAAATAATTTTCACAGTGGGTGATCGATTGGGTGATATTCAAATTCATGTTCATGTCACACTAATCACTTAATTTAAGTCCTTGATTTGCTCTTTCCCTACCAATTAAGATCTTAGCCCAGTAATGATGGAGGCCATATAAAAGCACACATTATATATTAGCTATTAAAACCAACTAATAATTATATGAATTTGTATTTAAATTCAAATATTCATGCCCTCTTAATCACGTGCATTTACCGTTTGAATCAAATTAAACCCCATTTCCTATATTCACTTTTTGTTTTCTTCCTCTTCAACATTGCACCAAATTAAACCAATGAATGATGAATAATAATGTGCAAACATTGGATGATCAAGAAGTTAGCAAAGTTGCAAGGCAAAGGTATGTGCATTCAAGTTTCTTTTCCATTTTCGCATTATATGATTGTAATACTTCCATTTGTTTATGTCACATATGTATTTTTATCTACGAAATCATTGTTTAACTACAATATTTGAATGAAGTCGTAAAGGCAAGAGTTTTCACTTAGTACAATATTTCTCGTATGCATACAAGGTACAAACACATGAACATTTATATACCTGGTTGTACCAAAGTACCAAACACAAGCAACAACCGGAATATACATAGAAAATTGTCGTAAAAGGGGCAGAAAATGTAGTTGTTTATTTTATTTGAAACTGGATTTTTATAATGTTGATAGTATACTTGCTACTTAGGATTTAGTCATCATGGGTTTTAATAGTCTACTATTATGGTCCTCAACCATTTCTTCTACCTTATTATTATAAAGGAATTATACTTTAAATTATTCTGATGAATACATTATAATTCATTTAAACAATCTTTAAATAGAATTCAACTGAAATTATGAACACCATTATTCTAAACATGCCACCCACAACTCAAAGCTAAGGCAAAGAAAGAAAAGACAGCAAAAATATTGATGATAGATTCTGTAAATTCATCCTCAATAAGTCAATATACTTGTGAAAAAATAGAGTCCATTATTTCTCTGAATGCATTACCATTCTTTTCTTTTTTCAGTGATGTGCAAATGTTCATATATCAATGACAAAGATTTGAATAACCGGCGAAACAGAGTTGCTCTTCCTTCCTCTGCTTCATCCTCTCGAATCACGACACCTACAAACCCGGTTTCATCCCCTTCATCATCAGCTTCACAAAGAGAGATTTTCACTACTACATTCATCTCTTCACCAAGAGCATCATCACCAAGGTCAAGGGCTAATAACACTCCTAGAAGCTCATCATCACCGCAACAATCAGAAGCACTGGAAGCCAAATCAACGACTTGGATAGCCAAGGATGAGGCTAGGAGTGGTGGTAACAACACCCCTAGACTATTCCTCTCAAAACTCAAGCCAAGGAAGCTTAAAAGGCGCATTAATATTGGCTCGACACAGTCTAATAGCAGTGGTTCAGGTGATGTAGAGGAAGCTGATTGGCCTCCCTTTGCTGATGAAGACTACATTGTTTTCTGCTTCGAAGAGGACGGTGCATTTCATGTTATAGAGGATAGTCCAATGGCTAACAGTCCAAAGGTAAAGTTACATGAATCTTTTTACAGATTGTTTGTGTGTGATTCGTGAACAATTGAACATAGTTGAACGAGATCCTCTTCCTTTAAACCTTATTCAATCTTATTCCAAGAGGGTGTCTGAATGGTCTAATAACGAAAGAGAACGTTCACAGGAACATAGTAGCAGACTAGTCATAGTAATGTTATTACAAGAGGGTGTTTGATGAGACTGATCTAATATTTTTTATGGGAAAATGGGGTTTTAACAGCTTCAATGTGAAGAACATGGGAGCGTCGCCTGCATTTGTAGGGACGAGAACAAGGATGTAAACCACCTGAGCCTTATAAATAGAAGAGACTGTTTCTTACCAAATAAAGAGGTTAGATATGAATCCCTTAAAACATGTTAGGAGTAAGTTTTACCTTAGTTGATAATGCAGGTTATGTACTGATCTGATGATGACATTGGTGATTGGCTGCAGGCTGAGGAAGAGATGAGTCCTAAGCTGCACCACAATGGAACTGATATTAGTGATCATTTGTTGGAAAATAACAAATTCGTACATGATATTGAATCGACTGAATCAATGGAATGCAGAAACGGATCAGTTGAATCAACAGCGTCTAGTAAATTGGATTATGAAGAGCAGTTTCAGATTGAACATAACACTGAAGTAGAACTTTCATCATCCCCCTGGAACGTGATAGACCAAGACGGCAACAATGTCAATGCTCTTCTAGCTTTTAGGAGAGACTGTTTGTTACCGAACACAGAGGTATAAATAACTATTTTCTTACAAGAATTCAACTTCTTTGGCCCCTAATCATCAATATATTTTGTGTGTTTCTGTCAATTTTCAGATTGACGAGGAAGATATCTTTTTGAGTCCAAAATCTAAAATGGGAGTTATGATAAGGATTGATGACCTGTTGAGGGGAGATAATGATATGTCAAGCATAGAGTCTGATCAATCCAGTGGCTTCAGTGGACCTGATTCTAGGGGTGATCAAGACGATCAACTCGAGGGGAATGAAGAACTGGCTTCAGAGTCTGCTAAATCAAGCACATCGAATATATCAAATACCAGCTCAACCTCTTTCGAATTCCCTGTGTAAGTTAATTTTCAGATTCAAAAGAAGAAAAAATTTGAGGTCTGGTTACTGATATATGCTGACAATATGAATGTTGGTCATGTTTTTGCAGATTGGAATGGGCGTGGATGGGTAGTCCAGTTACATGGCCAAGATCAGGGAGGGCAGGGTTCAGAAAATACAAATCTCGCCCAGCGTGTCTCAGATGCTGTAAATTCTGAAAATTTTCCCGAATTTACATCCCCCACCCCCCCCCCCCTTTTTCCTCAAAACCTCCCACCCCAAATTAGGAGATTATCGCTGGAAAATTAAGCCTCCTTCATGGTGTTGATAATTTCATTTAACTGAAGTACAATTTTTGCAAACAAATCTTAGGAATAATTCAATACAGGGGATCAGAGACATTGAAATCCAAATCTAGCAACTTTTTCACCATTCACATTGCGCGCAGTTCATACAGTTAAATAACTCTCACACAGATGAAACATGAGAGTTGGTCATTCCTAAACAAAAGTGCTACTCCGTACCTCTTTACTTTCTTTTTAAACATATAAACAATGTGGTTCAAAAGCCAAACAAAGAGGGCTGCCTGATCTTATTTTGTGATGGTGACAGCAAATCCTGAAGACGTCAAATGAGTCTCCATGAACGAACTGCCTTGCATGATAAAGATGTGATCACCACAAGCTTGCCTGCATAATTTTATATTACAGTAGTGGCTGGGCGTTAAGACTCAGCATTGGCACTGAAAACAATCGACTGAAGATGTAACCTTGCTCTAGCTGCGGCAAGAAGTGATTCCTCGTCTTGCCTCTCTTTAGCCATAGCGACCGCTGCAACATAAGCTTCCCTTGCCTCCTCCATCTTTTGCAGATCAGTTTCATCGACATTGTCCTATTGAAATCAATATATTTAATTGTAAATCAGGTTGGGTTAAGATCAAGTCATGTAATTTCGGTCTTAGTATACAGCTTCTAAAATGCTTGAATAAAGTTGATATTGTTTAGATCTTTAGGGTTCAGTTCTACAGCATCTACCTATAAAATACGAGTATGACAGAACAGGATATATGTTAATTAGTACTGTACTACTGTGGGAAATTGAAGACTTACTATGTCAGGGAGATTATCAACATAGTATGGTGAAGTGTCATAATCCTCACTCGGTGTGAATGCGTCGTCCTTTGACAATCCTTCAAATATATGCATTAATGATGAAATCTGCAATTGCAGGGCATCTAACTCTTCTTGGAGCCTCTCTGCCTTCTGATTGGACGTCTTTGCTTCCCACTGTAACTTCTCGACAGCTGCTTGTTTGTCTGCCAGCTTTATCTGAGCAAAAATAACAAGACAATATTCATAAAAAAAACAATTGATTGCATTAAAATATGGCAAAGCTGAAGATACGCTTTTACCATCGATTAGAGACTATGGGTAAAATAAGCCTCTTTCATCGATTAGAGACTGACGGAAGTCTATAAATTGAGAATTGGCTTTATCAAAGAGTCCTGAAAAATGGGGGGGGGGGGGGGGGGGGGGGGGGGGTTGGGTGAGTGATTCTAAGTGAAGTCTATAAATTGAGAATTGGCTCTTATTAGGATATGAAAAAGAGTAAGAGGCGAGGAGATCAGGAAAAGACTCAAAAAAGTCATGGGAAGGGGGGGGGGGAAGATTAAAGGAGGAGGCGACACATGACCCTAAAGGTTTTTTTTTCTAATTAAATTCTAGCAGTATAGAGTATGAAGATTGATTGATGATATATGAAACGCATAATTGAAGCAATAGAATTTCCTACGTTATACTCACTTGCATTTTTTGCATTTTACACCATTTCCAATGCACTACTTTGGCCATTAATATCCTTAATTTGAGTATTAATAGTCATACAAAGTTGATATTGAAAATTCAAAACAATATGAATCTAATAAGATTCAACTTGATAATGTTTTTTTTCTTATATACTTCGTATACACTATTAGACATGGTAAAAAAAATGATCTTGTGAATAGTAAATGGGTAGGACTAATGACTTTATGTTAACAAACCATAGCCATTCAGCAAGTAAATGCTTAGATCCCTAGTGTCCTCAAGTCTCAAGAGCATTAACTGTTCAAATTCAGGACAACACTCGATGATCAAATAAGACAAATACAGCTTTGAGATCCTCATGAACTTCAACATTAACTCATCTTTCAAACACTTATCAATCCCTTCACAAAAGAAAGACCAAGGATATCTCTACAGAAAAACAGTTCAGTAACAATCAACAGTATCCAGAGTTAAGAGTGTCAAGACTCCTACAATAATTTTTCATATGAATCACTCCAACTAGACACTTGTTTAGAATTAGCCTTTTAGGGCCCTGGTAATTTCTCCTTGTGCTCTGATCAGATTATAACTAGAGCAACAAGTAAATTCTATGAACAACACCCCTTTCCTATCCACAACGCCATATTATGTATTCAAATGCATACCTGCACTTACATAAAATGCTAGATGAACAAATCTTTGAACAATAACATCAAGCGAATCCTTAATCCAAAAGATAGGGTCAGCTACATGAACCAAAATTTTATCTCCTATACTCATTAACAATGATCCTCTACTTAAATCCCACTCTGTCCAATGTTAAATGTTCCTGCAAACCCAACTTCATCATGTTCTTAACTCCAATATATATATTATAGAAAGAAATTTTTTCAACACAGACAATTTTTCAAATGAAAAGGCTGAAAGTTCAGATACAAGACAAACCCTCACCAGCCTCCCCCTCTATTATACTGATGCTTGCAATTTTCCATTAATAGATTCCCCCCACCAAGATTCAATAATTACTTTAACTTCTAATGTAACAACACCCATAATTCCCCATACTTCCAACTCCAGCAAATTGGTGACAATTAAGCCCTTTATAATCTTGGCAGTTGGCAATATGTAGTTAATGAAAAGAAGTCTTCTGTTAGGAAGAAAGAAAGACCCAGCCACAAGACTACCTGTCTACCGACTATGGCCCTGTGTGAGTTTATACAGGTTAAAATACAAGCAATTATACCTTGGGTCTAGATGGGCCATGTAAATGCATTGATGCAGTATACACTGCCAGTACCCAAATAAAAAGGTTGATGCAGAATACACAGACACAGCAGAACAATGGCAACAGACAAGAAAATTGATACAAAACATTAAACATGGACTATGCTAGAGTTTGAAGGGCAATGATACGAGAAGCTGCAACTGTCTCACATAACAGACGAGAGAGCAGTCCTGCCATTGCCCCAGTGCTTAAAGATGTCTAACAGAACCTTTTCCAAAGATATCAAGCATTCAAGGCTACTTGTCACGTATGTTCATAATGTCTACATTATTAGTTCTCAGAGAATCCCAAGATTTTACAGCTCATAAGTTCAAGCAGAACCAGGTAAACTGCACACTTTATAAAATTTCAAGCAATTTAAATTTATGCCAGTCACAACTATGAGAGTAGCATTATGTAATAATTTTTAGCAACTGGTCCACAAGAGCTGCATAATCTATTAGCAACATGCAGAAAAGCAAGAATACCTAATAGATACTTCCTCCGTTCTATTAATATTGCAACAAGGAGGAAATCACACATCCCAATGCATATTTTATATGCTAAATATCTATAATTGTGTAAGAGTAAAAATTATAAAAATTTGATTTTGCGAAAGTGTTTTATGAGACGAATCCAATAAGATCTCACATGACTATATTTTGCTTAATGTATAATCATATTATATGGTCAAACAAGAGTGATAAATAGTGCAAAAAGTCCATTGTTGCAATATTAACAGAACGGATGAAGTATAATTTTATACAAGAAAATAGCAAAGACATCAAGACACAGTATATAAATCAGGCAGAGTAATACCTTGGCATCATTTAGTTGTGATACACTTGACTTAACCAGAGAATCCTTTTCAGAGGCGAATTGCTTCAACTCATTTACTTGTGACTGAATTAAATTAATTTGACTCTTAGACTTCTCTGCTGCTTTTAAGAGTTCATCCTTTTCCGCCAATTGCCGTCGTAGATCCTCTACCTGCTCCCGAAGAGAGTTCAACTCTTCTTTTTCTGCAGCCATAGTTGCTGAGGAAACTGATTGATCATCTGGAGATCCATCTGTATCATTCTTAGAATACTTGTCTTGTACTTTGTCTGCATGCTTAGACTTAACTCCATTCCTATTATTCTGATGAAAGCAAAATAAAACCTATTTTAAAAATTGTCTCAAGCACATAACTTTTGCCATCATTGTCACAAATTGAGTTACATCAACTTCATACTCCATGGCATTACTTAAACCCCATAGACCAAAATGCAATCACTTAATTACGCAATAGAATGACTTCAAGTGGATAAAATTCAAAGAGAATGCAAGCAATGAGACTCTCTAAAGTGCTATCAATCTACTTTTTACAGAATATTAAGCAGGCTTAAAAACTTATCAATGTTGGTACATTTTCTTCAATTTCTCATATTCCAACTTCTTCATTCATTTGTTCATACATTGCACAATTATGATGTCATCCTTGCACTTGCATTTGCATTTTCCACAAAATATCCTTTAACATACACATTTGGCTGTTTCATCTTCCCCCCCCCCCCCTCCCCCCTACAAGGCTACAACCCCATATGCCAGGTTCCATATGCCAGGTTAAACATGTACAACCCAATACACAAAGGTTACAATTTTAAAAAATATCGATGTCAACTAGCTTAGTTCGTGAAAGTCTTTGGGGTGGTACCCAACGTCCCGGGATCAATATAACTGCCCTTAACAACATGCTATATGCCGAAAAACTCAAAATTTTACCTTCTTGGAATCTCTAGAAGGTGTCTTGGTATAAATCATGGAACCCCGTCTGGTAAATGAGCTGGTAGCGTTCCGATCCTATATAATTCAAATCAAAATCAAATTATTTTACATAATTAAACCAGAAATTAGGGCAATGTAGAATGAATTAATCCCAAATCAAAGAAAGAGACCGAAGAAGAACTATTGCCACAGAAAGCGAGACAAAATCTCGAAATTTTCCCCATAATAATAATTTCCTCTTCTTCTTCCACATTTCGCGGATTCAAAAAATCAACATTCAAAATTAAAAATTTGGGGAAGAAGAAAAAAAAAAAAGAGGAGAGAGAAAGAGAGAAAATTACGATAAGGGATTGAACGAGAGGAACGATTTCAACAAGATCATTGTACAAAACCCGATCCAAATTGTCGCTGAACCCGGATTTATTATTCGGGTGGTCGCCATTGAAACTGGCCGAAGACCTCTCATCCATTTCCACGTAGTCTTGTTCTTCTGGTCCTCTTCTTCCTGAATACATTTTCTCTCTCCTCGAAATTTGGGGATGAAGTCAGTGAGTCACTGCGTGAGTGAAGTGAGTGAGTGAAGTGAGTAAGAGTGAGTTGATTTGAAATTTGAGTGTCGGATGAAGATCGAAGAAGAAGAATCTTCCGCCGTCGATTGAGTGAGGAAGAAGAGTTTGATTCAGAAATAAGAAACACTCCTACACTTTACTCAATTGCCCCTCTTTATTTTTTTATTTTTTTTTTTTCCTCACTCCCTCTCTTTGCATTTCAAATTGTGAATTTGTGAGGTTTTTTTTTTCCCCCTTTCTTCTCTCTTTTGAGTGTTGCTAGGGCTGCATATAAACATTTAAGATACTTTACTTTTTAACCTTACGTTTTTAAGTACTTGTTATATTTCTTTATGTGTAGAGTTTTGGGATAACTTAGAGAAAATAATAAAATATATAAGTAGTGAAGTAGGTAGAAAAATCTATTAACTATTACTGAAACAAAGCATGCTGACATTATTAGAGAACACTTGTCAATTTCTTATGTTTCCCGCCAAAACTATTTTTGACATCATAATTTTTTTCTCTATTTTTTTCCCCTAAGTTCTAAAACTTAACAATTACAATATTTCTTTTTTTTTGTCAAAAAATAACAATTACAATATTTCTTTCAAAATTAATAAATAAGATTATGATTACACTATTTCGAATAAAAAATATTGACAACTATTTTAAACAAATAAAATCTATTTAAACCGTGCAACGCATGGGATATATCTAGTAAATAATTATAAAAAGCAAAATTAGTTGAGAGAATTGCAGAAAAGAGAATATGAAATTAATAAAATGTTATTTATGTTAGGTTCATTAGTTGAGATAAATGAATTAACTATTGTAAAAGCATTCCAAATAAGGAAATGGAGCAAGTATTTAAAACGGCCGTAAATGGAAAGTGGAGCAAATATTAAAAACGAATGGAGTATTAAGTTGGAAATTTATCGACAACTTACGAGTAAATCGGTGTAATAAATGTTCATTTATTGACTATTCTTTCCACTTTTAGCTTCTTATATCTTTTTCTTTTTATTTTTAGTGGAAAAGGATAAACATAGCCCTTGTATAAGAAACTAAGAAAACAAAATATCGAGAATAACTTAACATTAATTACACCGATTTTTGGGTGATTTTGGCATCAATTCCTATTTTAATTCTATTTTGGGAAGTATATTTAATGTTTATAAATAGCCCTAAGGGCTACTGTATTTATTTATTTATATACAAAAATCATAAACAGTTGATATTATAATTACACACGATTACTTATTAAAATTATATAAAAAGTTGATGTTATAAATTGAGATGAATTTAAATATTGAATATCGTTTTAGCTCAAAATTAAAATTCAAATAATTAAATGATATATAAAATATACACTTTTTAGAAATAATTAATCATTTTATTAGAAAATATTTCTCAAAACTACGGGGTATTACATCGTGGGTTGAGTTTAGGGCTTTAGGCTACCTTTTTCAGTAAAGTACAACAAAACATGATAAAATAAGGTTTTGGCTTCAATATGTATATACATGCATGGCTCGATAATACGTGAATCGAACTTGGTGCCTTAGAGCTTTTCTTTTTAAAACATAGCTAGCGGTTAAGTCGTGGATCGGGCCAATGCATGCAATCAAGTTTTACCCTTTTTATATCCATCTTTGATTTTTCCTCATAGATGACATTTTAGGGGTCGTTTGGTTGGGGGTATTCATCAAAGGGAATGAGAATCAACTGACCTAATTCCCTTTGTTGTTGTTTGTTAGACACTTTCTTTCATTCCCTTTACCCCCTCCATTACCCCAAATCCTTCTAACTTCATTTTCCATCCCCCCTAGACTTTCCTATTCCCTTTCCTTAGCCACCCATCCACCACCACACCCACACTAGCCACCACCCTTTTACCTTACCCTCACCACCCAACTGCCACCAGTCACACCTCCACCGCCATCGCTGCCCTTTCCCCGACCACCTCCACCCCTTCCCCGACCACCGCCGCCCACCGATAAGACCCAGATCTGACACCCTCATAATTTCACAAACCCAAACCCACCATCGCTGATCAAAGCTCACCATCGTCGACACCCCGGATCGACTCACCATCCCCGAGACCACTACAACCCAAACCCACCACTGCTAACACCCTCGCCGAGAGCAGCAGCGAGCAACGGCGACGAGCAGGGGGAGCATTTGGTGGGGGCGAAGGGCGGTGAGTGGTGGTTGGGGATGTGCGGCGAGTTGGTGGGGGCTGGGTGGTGGCGGGGAAATGTGGGAATTGAAGAAATAAGGTGGTTGTGTGGTGGTGATAGTGTTTCCCTTTGTTTTTAAAACAAACAACTTACATAATTTTGGGTAATTTCATTCCATTCTCTTTCTTTCCCTTTGTTCATTCCATTCCGTTTACCCCGTGTAAACCAAACGACCCCTTAGTCTTTTCACTTCCTCCTCAATTATCTTTTTTCCAAATAAAAGATTTGTAACCATAAACAAGAAAATTGAACAGTCAATCCTTATTTTTTCCTAAAAAATTAAGGATACTATACTAGAGTAAGTGGGTGAAAATGATGAATATCTGTTATAAAATAGGCAGTGTTGCGTTTGAATAATGTAGAAAAGGCTTTAATCAAAAAGGAACCAGTCGAGCAATAGTCAATGAATAAATTAACGGCTGAGGAAGATATAAAGAAGATGATAAAAATACACAAGGATTTACATGGGGTAATTTTGTTAACAATTACCATTTAAATGACGACTTTTGGAAACAACTACCATATATATATATATTGGAAAAACTACCACAAAAATACAAAAAGTTTGAGTAGCACTACCACATTTTGTTTTTCCAGTAAGAATCTCCGTTTTAGGGGCGTATTTTGTAAAATTTCCATCCAAAAAACCCAAATTAAGTGACAATATAGGTCTAAATTAACTCTAAATCAGGTATTATACATCAATTTCCCCAAACTTCCCATTTTTTCAAAACCCAAAATTCAATTTTTTGCCTATAAATCCTAATTTTAATATTCAATTGAGAAATTAAAACAATTACAATACGAAATTAAAGAAAATCTACATATAATAATGTTTGACTTCCGAATTCCCTTGTTTTCTCTACCACAATTGGTTGAAATCTTATAAATTAAACTCCCTCAACCGGAGATTCTTGTCGGAAAATTAAATGTGGTAGTGCTACTCAAAGTTGCTTAGGTTTTGTGGTAGTTTTTTCAAAAGAAAAAATTAAATTGTAGTTGTTCTCAAAAGTGAACATTTAAATGGCATTTGTTCACAAAATTACCTTTCTATGGTTTGGTCAACTAGACAAACCTATTCCACTGATGAGGGGATTCAATAGTTTTTCTTCATTGTAAGTCTGTAATAGAGAAAACAAGAGGAATATATAAGGAGTACTCTTTTAATGGCTTAACAACCTAATTAACCTACCTATCCCAGTAGTCCTTTTATAATATACAATAATAAGGAAACTCTAATACCCCCTTCTCTCCAAACAATATGCTTATAGTCGTTATAAGAATTCGGTAAATATGATAATAATTAATCACATAAAACAATGAACGACAAAGAAGAAGACACGCGTCACAAATGTGAGCAATTAAGCCTAGTGCATGGACGTGCCACCATAGCGTGTGCGGACGCTTTCCTTCAATTCACCCCCTTGCGCAGACATTTTCTTTCAATTCGTGTGGACGTTTTCCTTAAATCCTTCTTGCACAAATGCATAAAATCTTTTGGTGTTTCAAATTGACACTAATATATATATATATATATATATATATATATATATATATATATATATATATAAAGCTAAACTTTTAGCCAGGTCACGAGGCAGCGACACTTGGCGTTCTAACTTTTCGCCAAGTGTCGTGCCACATTGGATATATTTAAATAGACATTATAAGATAAAAAAAAATATTAGTTTAGAATTCTATTTGGATATAATTTTAAGATAAAATTATTAGTTTAGAGTTTTATTTTCGATAAAATACCAATATTTCAAATGTACAAATTGAATTATAATTTTAATTACAAAAATTATTAGATTATTATTTTAAAAAATCATATCATAAAACTAATATATAAAGCTAAAATATTAACTAATATATAAAGCTAAACTTTTAGACAGGTCACGAGGCATCGACACTTGGCGTTTTAACTCTTTAATTTTTCGCCAAGTGTCGCGCCACGTTGGATAGATTTAAATAAACTTTATAAGATTAAAAAGTTAATTTAAAATTATATTGGGATATAATTTTAGGATAAAATTGTTAGTTTAGTGTTTTATTTTCTATAAAATACCAATATTTCAGAGGTACAAATTGAATTAAAATGTTGTTACAAAATTTTCGATAAAATATAGCAAATCGTTATAAAAGCACCTCAATTCCTAACTAATTTTGTATCAATGATATATTTAAAATTTTGACATATAGATTAAAAATTTATCTTTAATAAACAACCCGGGCATTGCACGGGCACAAAACTAGTATATATATATATGTGTAAATAAGTAACCTCACCCAAATTCCACGGAAGAAATGGTATAAAAGTCAAAATAGTATATCTATCAATAAACAAATATAGAGTACAATAACACTACATGGATCAACTTTTTTCATACATGTATGTCTCTAATAAAGTTTACGAATACAAAGTTTTATCATTCTCCTCTTATGTAATTATCAATAATATCTCATAATACATTTAGCTTAAGTATAAATGTATAATCACTTTATTTACACTCATAATCTTTAATATGCAAACAATAATATATTTCGTGTATCTCAACATCTATTAAAAAGTGTTCATAAAAACGTTTGTGTGTCACGTGTGCTCAATAATCAATGGCAACGTGCCACGTCACATTTCAACATTTCATGAGAATGGTAACTAAAAAACGCATAAAAAGAGGTTTGAACCTTTAACCTCATAGAATGAATACTAACGTCTTGCCATTTTAAGTAGCAATAATTTATGCTCCATTTTATCCACATAAATGTATAATAATAATAAAAAAAAAACACCCAAACTAAAATAAAATGAAACTCATATTACTCTTTCAATTCTTTTCAATATTTTAACATTATATTCTAAATTATTAATAATAAAAAAACTCAAACATTTTTTAAAAAATAAATAATAATAACTCTAAGCAACATCTTGGGACAACGCCTGGGTCAACACAATAGTTTTAAATATTAAACAATATATTTGTATGTCCCTCGAATTGGTTGAAATCTTCATGACTTTAATTTTTTATATATATGTACTTCCTCCGTGTTTTTTTAGATGCATCACTTTTGAAATTGTGGATTTGCTAGACAATTAGAGAGACAAAGAGGAAA